GAAATCTAAAACGCCCTTAAATTAAAACTTTATAATTAAAACTTCTTGTTGTTACTCACAAATACAACTAAAGTCTATTTAAAAATCCTGTTTTATCGTATTAACATACCAATGTCATAGCAGTACACATATAATCTAATATCTAACTCATAGTTCGTGACGGAAGCAAATTTTATACTTCTTATCTAACAAAATGATTACAATTTTCAAGGTTTTCCTAATGATATGTACGAGCCTCTAAGTGATTTCGTAGAAAGTGTATTTTTCTTCTTTATTCTTTATTGTACACACAGTTAATATTACAGTAATTGCGTAAGATATAAAAAATGGCGAGCTTAACTCAACAATTGAGTTTTCTACCAGCTAACCGTTCTTAACGAAGGAAAGCTTTAAATGAGTGGGTAGAAGAATACAATCTAATCAATTTACAATCTAGACAAGAACAATAATAAAAAAATAAAAATAAAACACTAATACATAATATATTAGACTACATATATGAGTCGTCTATTATCAAAGGTGGCAATCTGTGCATTCGGACAAAAAAATGTTATTGATATGTCAATACAGATTGATTTGAATATAATCGTCTCCTTCAAAGAATACGGTTCAAAACCTGCATTAAATAAAGGTTAATACTTAACCTGTTATTTATCTAAGATGTCGTTCAGAAGAGTTTTGTGACTGCCAATGGAATACAAAGTCAATAATTCGTTTTTCTGATTTACCAGTCATTGTCCAAAAGTCAGATTGCCGCCTTTGATAATAGTCGACTCATATATACATACACACATAAATAACGTAAACATATACATACACGTACATATATAATGAAATACATAAAATAAATACATATAAGTAAGTAATACTAAATTGATAGATAGTGCTGCTTTAATGCCTTCCTGAATACTTCAAGTGAGGGACTTGCACGGATTGAGTGTGGAACTTTTTGTGGAACTGTGGAATTTTTCGTATATATATATATTTTAAGGCCCTTGTACGCAGACGGCCCGCCTGATGGTGAGTGGTACGTCGCCCATGGACTACAGCAATGCCAGGGACAGAGCCAAACCACTGCCTATCGGACCGTGGTATCCGATTCCATTTGCGATTTGCAATGATAGTATAGTCTGTAGTGAAAAATCCATATTTTTTCTTTTTTTTTTGCAATTACAATTACCTACATGCGACATAGGACCCTCATGATGGTCATCAAGTAAACCTTCTGCCAATGTTACTACTATACTTCCGGTATCCACTTTGACCATTGTAAATTTGGTATTCCCAAGTGTAACCTTCTGCAGACCATAGCTTGTAGATCTTCATGTTATATTTATGTGTTCGAGGGTATGTATTCGCGGAAAAGTAGTCTGCCGCGGAAGTGAACCATTGATATGGTAATAAACTAACCATACATACGTCTACTGGAACCACTCATGAGTCTGGGGTACACGTTAAGGGTAAGTACACGGTAATTTAATTCATAAGTCCGTGTACCGCCCGGTGTACACGGGTATATCCGGGTCAACGACCATATTTTGTTACTTTTAATGCATTAGTCGATAAGTGGACATCGAATAATGGCCAAAAAATATATAATCACACTTGGACATATGGAGTGTTTCGGAACGCTTGTATAGGGACTGTTAACGTGTTGAACGCTTTCGTGATGGAAATTTTGATTTAAAGAACGAACTACGTGGAAGACCGCTCACACATGTGAATAACAATGAATTGAAAGAGACGGTGGAAGCCGATCCGAGCTAAACTACCCAGGAATTAACGGCATGGCCTAACGTTACCTTACCAATAATATTGACTCATTTGCGTCAAACAAATAAAATAAATATAAAAAATTGGTGCCTTGATGATTTCAGAAAGAGGTAGTTTTCCAATTACAGAGCATAATGCGACTTAGTGACGCACAATGCCGAATTATGCTGAAGCTTAATTGGAACGTGAATTAGTTTTCAAATGCATCAGCAGAGTGCGCTAAGTTAGCACAGTTTTAATTAACATTGATTATTTCTAAGAAACTACGACGAAACGAAAGCCTTACAATTTTTTTCAACATTAGATAATATTACTAACGATAATATATACAAAATTTCGATCAATGCCAACTTATAGAAAAAACACTTTTCAATTTTCTGTCACTGAGTCGGTATCGATTGCGAGTATCACGCGAGAGCAGTACTTTTGAGAGTGCTCGATTGTGCGAAGCGTTGCTCTAGTTGGAACATTCAACGTTGAGCATTATGCCGCATAATGCGCTCTTGTGCTGTAATTGGAAAACTACCAGAAACGCGTGTTGAAACTTGTGTTTCCTTGTCGACTCGCTAGAGAAATGAAGGAATATTCGATCGAATTGTGACATATTGTGACGAAAAGTGGATTCCTTACGATAATCATGAGCAAAAAATTCAATAGCCGACCCCGGGTCAAACGCCGCAACAGTGTCCTAAAGCAAAGCTTACCAATAAAAAGGTAATGGTAACTGTTTGGTGGTTTCAGCATGGTGTTATTCATTATAGCTTTCTGCGATCTGGTCAAGCAATAGCGGCAGATATCTACTGTGCCGAACTCCGAACAATGATAGCGAAACTTGCAGTGAAACAGCTCCGACTCATGGATCGACCATCATTATTGCTCCATGATAACGCGAGACCTCATACAGCGCGAGAAACCGTTTTAACTATACAGGAACTACCATTTTTTTCGTGATTTGGACAATTTTCTAAGTGATAAAAAGCTTTCTTCCCAGAAGGCAGTACAAAATGCTTTCACACAGTTTGTAAAATTTAGATCACCAGAATTCTATCGCACAGGAATATAAGATAGCAGCAATGTATAGATAATAATGATAGATATTTTGTTAAATGAAAGAAAAACAACGAATTTCAATTTTTCAGTACAAATCGGCAATTACATTCTTTTTTCCTACCTATGCTGATAGCCTTGAGAGGCTATTTCAGCTTCTCCTTGACTCACGGGGCTCAAACCGGGAGTGTTGCTAACACTGGCCCTAGCAAGAGCAGTGTTTCGCAGAATCTACCGAGTCCGACAGAAGCACCTGCCGCCCGCGGACGTGCTCATCGACCACTCGATCGCCCGGCCTTTGTTCGCCCGACTTTTGTTACACCGGCCATTGTTCGCACGGCCTGTGTTCGTGGTACATCTGCCGACAAAGTGTTTTTCCCGGAAGTTTTTATTTGTTTTGTTTCTTTTTGTTATTTCTGTGTTGTTGTGTTTTTTTCCTTGTCCTGTAGTAATTGCGCCGCATCGCCACATGTTTTCAATAGAACCGCTCAGTTTCGAGAAGTTGGGGCCTAGCCGCAAGGCGAGTGCTTTTAAGACCTGGGGCAGCCCCATGTGGCTTCAAGGCCGATCACACCGCGAGCCCTCTCGTGGACTCCGCCGTGCTCGCTGCTCCTGCGTCGCCTGTACCTGCGTGCAGAGCTTCTGCATCGAGCACCGCAGCCTCCGTCGTGCCTGCCGCTCCCATGTCGCCTATAATGGCGAGTAAAACTGCTGCGTCGTCCGCCGTGGCCACCGTTCTAGCTGCGCGATCATCCGCGTCCTTTAAAACACCTACACTTGCTCGTAGGTCGCCTGCGCCCACTTCCTCGTCTTCCAACTCTGACTCGGACATGGAGGTCGACCTCGCCCCCGCCTCATCGACGGATGGATTTACCCTGGTACAGAAGGGTAAGAAGCGTGCCGCGGAGTCTCGAGCTCCCGCGGCCGCTAAAATTAGCAAAGCCGCAAACGCGTCGCGCCCCCGCCCTCAGACTCCCGTTGCGCCCTCAGCCCGTGCCACTCCGTCGCCGCGTCCGGTGGCACAAAATAAAACCCAGACCCTTCCCCCGATAATCCTTCAAGAGAAGGCAGCTTGGGACCGAGTTTAGACCCTAAGGTCCAAAAAATTAACTTTTCAAGCGCCCGTAACCTCGCAAACGGGATTCAGATTAAGGTTCAAACACCCGACGACCATAGGGCCCTCACCTCTTACCTCCGTAAGGAGCGTATAAGTTTCCACACCTATACGCTCCAGTAGGAGCGCGAACTCCGCGTTGTAATACGCGGAATCCCTAAAGAGTTAGATGTAGAGCTCGTCAAGGCCGATCTATTAGAACAAGGCTTACCAGTGAATTCCGTGCACCGTATGCACACCGGTCGAGGTAGGGAGCTATATAATATAGTTCTAGTCGCCCTCCAGCCTACTCCCGAGGGTAAGAAAATCTTCAACACACAGACCGTCTGTAGGCTCTCCGCCTGCTCGCCCACCTGTCCTGGTGAAACTGGAAAGGCCTCCGGGCCACTAGTAATCCGTCCATCATAAAAAAAAAAAACTACCACCGGATCGGAAACGCGACCCGCTGAGAAGATCCGGCGAGAAACTGAGTGGGCTGTGTCTATGGGTTAATTCGTTACTTACTCGTCCAGCCCTTCGCGCAAGCGACGGGCTTGGCGAGGATGGTGACTGGTGCTTGAGGTACCGAAAAGCACCGTTAATAGATCAGGAGGATCCGTAATGACGTGATTAGGGCGACATCGACTCTTTGCCATTCGGTTCACAGGGCTCAATCGCCGATAGATGACTGTACGCAGAGCGCGCGTCATGGATTTTGATAGAGTTCAGATAAAGTTCATTTTAGAAACTAATGAACGCCCCGCTATATGGAATAGCAAATAAAAATATTTAACTCTTTGCCGTCATGTCGTGTCTCCGATAGAGGGTGTATCAAAAATCTGTGTTCATTTTTTCGACGATATTTTCTACGATAATATAAATAAATAACTGCCGCAACTTTTTCGACGTCCATCATGTACAATAATTCTAGAAGCACTGACGATTGCGGCAGACCGCATTAGAACCAAGACGATAACGGCTACCAGGAATACGGCGAGCCGCTAGTGCGTTCTAGGCCTTAGAACGGTCAGTCTACCTAAATTTGTTTCTAAACTCGATAGCAGAAGCATCCCTTGTCGATCCCCCCAAATAAAAATGCAAAAAAGTACAGATATTTTATTAGTGCTATTAAAGTTTGCTCTTTCGGGATTTAGCTAATTTCCTGAGCTCCTGCCTCAGTATTTTCCCGCTGGGGTTCTTCGGTATTTCGGTCACGAAGCGTACTCCGCCCCGAAGGTGTTTCGGATTTGATAGCTGGAAGGTAAAAACGGTCGGAAGGAAATTTAATTGAATTTAAATAACGGAATGTTTTACGACGCATAGATTTATATATTAATACGTGAAGCTAAAACTTTGTGCCCCCTTTTTTTACGAAAATTGCGCAGACGGAGGAGTATGAAATTTCCCACACTTATTCAGAATATGGAAAAGGACGTGGTGCGGACTCACAAGAGGTCCTACCACCAGTAATAACATTAACATCCTTAACATTCTATAATTCAAATATATTGTCAATTTCTACGTAAGTGAAGTGGGGGGTAAAATTTAGCGTTATGCCAATGTAACTATTCCACGTGGACGCAGTCGCGGGCAAAAGCTAGAGAAAAAGTTTACTGGTAGTAGGACCCCTTGTGAGTCCGCACCACCACCCTGCCTATTTCTGCCGTGAAGCAGTTATGCGTTTCGGTTTGAAGGGTGGGGCAGCCCACGTAACTATACTGAGACCTCAGAACTTATATCTCAAGGTGTGTGGCGCATTTACATTGTAGATCTCTATGGGCTCCAGTAACCACTTAATACTAGGTGGGCTGTAAGCTCGTCCACCCATCTAAGCTAAAAAAAAAGAAAAAAGATATACCGTCCGTGCCACGAAATCTTTGAGGTCCTGTTCAGTGACTTCCTTCCCTGGTTGGCGTACAACGAAGGCTAATGGCACCTCTCCTGCCGCGCGGTCCTCTATGCCGACGACACCAGCGTCTTTCACTGCTTCGTGCTGCAGCAGGACCGCTTCCAGTTCGGCTGGAGGCACCTGGGTTCAAGTCGATTGGATCAGATATCGCCTTTTCGCATTTAAAGTATACAATTTCCAAAAATGTTCGAAATTGAGTTAATATGCGTAAACAATTGGGTATAAGCAGTATTTTTCTCATAAATACTGTCAAAAGAGCGTGGTTGAGTTTTTTTTTTAGTTTACCTATATTTTGGCGACTATTAACAAAATTACATACATAAAATTACATAAATATAATACATAATTTTATCTTACTTTAAAAGACAGATAATGTAACTGGTAAAAAATAAAAAATAAAATTGCAAATATGATTATATTAAAAATATCACAAATGTTAAACCTTTAAGACACTCTCCTGTAAAATTAGTAAGTTTTGAGAATACTTAAACAGTTTTAATGCGAGAAGACAATACGCAAAATTTGTTTGATTTTACCCGCTTTCATTATATTGGTATGTTTGTTTGTATGTAACAGGAATCTTTGAATATCATTTTAACTGACTTGATGACGTCCGATTAACTTGACAATTCATCAAGGACGGTTTTTTCTTAATAGCTCACGACATTACCTTAGATAAAGTAAATAAGCTAATAGAGTAGTGTATATTTATTTATTAAGTAGATGTGTTAAGAAGTTCACCATCCACCATGGTGTTGAATGCCTTGTTTTATCGCTCTTATAGGTAGACGAGCATACGTCCCACCTGATGGTGAGTGGTTACTGTCGCCCATGGACGTCAGCCATACCAGGGGCAGAGTCAAGCCTCTGCTTACTATTCTGTATTCTCCACAAGCCTCGTTTTTTTTTTAATTGATTAGATGGGTGGACGAGCTCACAGCCCACCTGGTGTTAAGTGGTTACTGGAGCCCATAGACATCCACAACGTAAATGCGCCACCCACCTTGAGATACAAGTTCTAAGGTCTCAAGTATAGTAACGACGGCTGCCCCACCCTTCAAACCGAAACGCATTACTGCTTCACGGCAGAAATAGGCAGGGTGGTGGTACCCACCCGCGCGGACTCACAAGAGGTCCTACCACCAGTAAAAGTACCGTTTAAAGAAGGATATATCATAGTGCTCGGGAAACACCGTAGAGGGGAGTTCGTTCCAAAGCCGGATGGTACGCCAACCGGCGTCCATATATATTAGAACCTCTAATACCGTCCTCAACCTTGGGACAGGAGCAGAAAACCCATATGCCTGTCCATACCCTTCAGGATATAAAGCAAGATTATAACTGAGCCACTTAACGATGCATTACAGGGTTAAGGATACCATACGTAGCATACTGCTAGTCTAGACCAACTAATTACCAGCTGCGCAACTGCTTATATGAACCGACCTGATATCCTTTATATTTGATGAGTTCCTTAATCCTATCACAGATGTAGAAGTGTCCGTCCTCGTCGTAGTAGCCTACGTCGCCAGTCCTGTAGAAGTCCTCGTCATCAAAGTCTTCGGACCTGGCCCTCCCGATGTAGCCCTTCATAAGGAGCGCACCCTTTGCGCAAATCTCTCCTGTTTGATTAGGGCCAAGAGGCTGGCGGGTTTTTATGTCGACTATCTGTAATGGGCAATTTTAATGTGTGCGCTGACTGCGGCTGAGGATCGATCCATGTGGCGAACCTTGGGACGCATTTGAGACTGGATGGCAATGTGTGGACAGTTACAACGCTCCCAATAAGGATCTTCTACAATACTGGTTTGTGCGGACTATTCAATCTATGGGCGTCAAACGCCGATGGCTTTAAATTTAACGATAGGCAGCTGCTTGGTTCTGCCCCTGGCATTTTGGACGTCCATGGGCGACGGTAACCACTCGCCGTCAGGTATGCGCGTCTGCCTACAAGGGCAATAAAAAAATAAATATACGATTGTCTGGTGTAACAGTTATTTCCCTTCACTACTAAGGCGAGGGCTTTAGGCTCTATTTCCATATCGGCCAGACATTCGTTTGTTGAACAAGTCTGTAAATTCTCTTCGTGTGGGTATTTAATATCTATTAAATGAATAAAAATAATTATTATTTAGGTAAAGCTACTTATAAATAGAAAATCTGCATTAGCTCACCGCCAGTTGGCAGCGTTCCCAGAAGGCTGGCAGCATTTCCACGTTGGATAGCAATGCCAATTCTTTGTGCAAAATACGTACCGGCCTTCTGGTCTCCCGAGGCCTCAAATAGTTTTTTTTAAGGTCCTTAAAAAAGCTTTTGGCAGATGGGCCCCAGGGGCCCAAAGTTTCTACCCCAAACGGAACAAAAATAAAATCTTTAGAGAGATTTTCATATTTCCGCCGTTTGAGGCCTTCAGCCATTGAAGCAGTCTATTTATTTATATATTAAAACGTATGTAATCCGTTTCTTGTTTCCATAGAACAGGGAATTTTAGTTTAGGACCAGACTTCTCTCCGACTTTTTAATTATACTTTTTAAGTAATTGTGCATAAAATAACAGACCTTAAAATATCCTTATTTTTTATTTTTTTATTGTTTAGATGGGTGGACGAGCTCACAGTCCACCTGGAGATATAAGTTCTAAGGTCTCAGTATATTTACAACGGATGCATCACTCTTCAAACCGAAACGCATTAGTGCTTCACGGCAGAAATAAACAGAGCGGTGGTACCTACCCGTGCGGAATCACAAGAGGTCCTAACCACCAGTAATTACGCAAATTAATTTTTGCGGGTTTGGTTTTTTATTACACGATGTTATTCCTTAACCATAAAAGTCAATCGTGAACATTTGTTAAGTACGTATTTCATTGGAAAAATTGGTAACCGCCTGCGGGATTCGAACACCGTTGCATCGCTAGATACAAATGCACCGGACGTCTTATCCTTTAGGCCACGACGACTTTTTAACAAAAGCCATGTGTTTGCGTTTTTGATTTCAAATCGTTTATATTTGTTTAACACTGGGAATCTTTAGCTAGACACTGAATTATTTTAAAATCGTAAAATATTCTGGTTTCACCTTCAGCACGCATCCGGGTGCAGCCAGACCCACGCTGCCCGGTTTCGCGATGTCTAATTGGGTGTACGTGTATCTGGTGATGCCCAGGGTCGTCTCTGACGACCCGTAACCTTGGAAGACTCCTCTAAGGTTCGGGAACCTGATCCCGAAAAGTAATATTAACGTATAAATTAATATTATGTATCCTTTTGATTGATTTTCGTGAAAGCATCGCGTTTTTGTACTATCATTTCATATTATTTTTTTATAGCTTAGATGGTTGGACGAGCTAACGGCCCACCTGGTGTTAAGCGGTAACCGGAGACCACCCAACGTAGACGTCTACAACGTAAATACCGCCACCCACCTCGAGACATGAGTTGTAAGATCTCCGTTTTAACAGTACAACGGCTGCCCCACCTTTGAAACGGAAACGCATTACTGCTTCACGGCAGAAATAGGCGGGGTGGTGGTATCTTCCCACGCGGTAATTAGTGATGTTTTGAATGCTTTACAGTAACCGTTTACCATAACTTATATCTCAAGGGGGATGGCGCTTTTACGTTGCAGATGTCTATGGACTCCAGTAATCATTTAACACCAGGTGGGCTGTGAGCTCGTCCACTCATCTAAGCTATAAAAAAAACCGTGGTCGCGGACTACTGATGTGCTATCATTAAAATACTAACTACCGTCAATTTAAAGAAAATATATATCCAGACTTTAACATTTCATTTCACACAGAACTAACTTATATATAAATACTAAATAATCTTCAGGTCTGGCCGTTTGTTTGCTATCGATTTTCATCTTCGTATCATGACGATCCAAGCATACTAAAACGTATCCCAAAAAAATATCCCATTCTTGCGGATCCTCTGGATTTGAACCTCTGGGTTTGCGGAGGGACATCGGTTCCCTCTGTATTCTGTACCGTATGTTCCATGGGGAGTGCTCTGAGGAATCGTTCGAGATGATACCATCGTCTCGTTTTTACCATCGCACCGCCCGCCCCCGGAGTAGAGTTCATCCGTACTACCTGGAGCCACTGCATTCATCCGCAGTGCGTTTCCAGAGATTTTTTTGCCACGTACCATCCAGGTATGGAATGAGCTCTCCTCCACGGTGTTTCCCGAGCGCTATGACATGTCCTTCTTCAAACGAGGCTTGTGGAGAGTATTAAACGCTAGGTAGCGGCTTGGCTCTGCCGCTGGCATTTCTGACATCCATTAACGACGGTAACCACTCACCATCAGGTGGGCCGTATGCTAGTCTACCGATACAATAAAAAAACTAATTCGTATTTTCGGTAATCGGATAAAGTAATTACAATGGCAGGTCTTACTTTTCGAAGGCAGCCTTGGCCGTGTCCTTGTGCAGGGGAGCGGCCCCCGAATATATCAGTCTAACAGAGCCCAGGTCCAAAGTGCTGGTAGACTTGCAGACTGCGACCAAGATCGGGGGTACCACGGTCAGCTGGACCACCTGCATGCAATCGTCGGTGGTGTAAATCTCATTGCACGATGAAGTCGTCGTGGCCTAAAGGATAAGACGTCCGGTGCATTCGTGTTGAGCGATGCACCGGTGTTCGAATCCCGCAGGCGGGTACCAAATTTTCCAATGAAATACGTACTTAACAATTGTTCACGATTGACTTCCACGGTGAAGGAATAACATCGTGTAATAAAAATCAAACCCGCAAAATTATAATTTGCGTAATCACTGGTGGTAGGACCTATTGTGAGTCCGCACGGGTAGGTACCACCGCCCTGCCTATTTCTGCCGTGAAGCAGTAATGCGTGTCGGTTTGAAGGGTGGGGTAGCCGTTGTAACTATACTGAGACCTTAGAACTCATATCTCAAGGTGGGTGGCGCATTTACGTTGTAGATGTCTATGGGCTCCAGTAACCACTTAACACCAGGTGGGCTGTGAGCTCGTCCACCAATCCAAGCAATAAAAAATAATAATAATAATAATAATTTGCGTAATTACTGGTGGTAGGACTTCTTGTGAGTGCGCACGGGCAGGGTACCACCGCCCTGCCTATTTCTGCCGTGAAACAGTAATGCGTTTCGGTTTGAAGGGTGGAGCAGACGTTGTAGCTATACTGAGACCTTAGAACTTATATCTCAAGGTGGGTGGCGCATTTACTTTGTAGATGTCTATGGGTTCCAGTAACCACTTAATACCAGGTGAGATGGTTGGACGAGCTCACTCTTTATATGCTCAATAAAAATAAAAAATGAACCTACTCTAAAAGAAATTTAAGCCAGTATCTTGCCCGTTATATAAGTAGAAAGAAATATATAGTTAGATCGAACATGGTAAATGATAAAAAAAATGCAATAACTATCTCTCAAAGACTTGTTTAAACTGAGATACTGTTATAAACACGGATTTCTTAGTAACAAACCCAAGGATAAAATCAAACATTAAACAGAAAAAACTGAAATTCAACTCTCTCCCTCAACATTGTTTTTTTAGTGACGTTGCTATTTTTATTACCCTTGTAGGCATTCGATCATACGACCCACCTGATGGTGAGTGGTTACCGTCGCCCATGGGCTTCAGCAACGCCAGAGGCAGAGCCAAGCCGCTGCGTACCAGTGTTGGTGGCCCAGGGGCATATCCAGTGCCACTAGCAGACGCCAGCGCACACGGGCTCAGCCAAAAGAGAACCTATACCCTTTTACTGCTTAGGCGGCGACAGACCCGCACGTAAAGACCGAAACAGTTAAGCATCCAACATTCCCGATCCTGCGGACAGAATGGAAAGCAGTCGACGTCGCCCAAAACACGTCATCTCAGATCCTCCCGATCCACTAACGGTGCTTTTAGGTACTTCAAGCACCGGTCACCGTTCTCGTCGAATCCGTCGCTTGCGACGTAGGGCTCGACGAGTAAATTAACCCACAGACACAGCCCACTGAGTTTCTCGCCGGATCTTTTCAGTGGGTAGCATTTCCGATCCGGTGGTGGATTCTGCGAATTACGACTCTTGCTAGGGTTCGTGTTAGCAACGTTGTCAGGTTTGAGCTCCGTTAGCTCACCCAATAGTTAAGGTTACACTGAAATAGCCTCTCAAGGCTATCAGCTTAGGTACAAAAAAAAAACCAACCCTACCTTATACCTCTCGATTGTCTTCAAGTATAGTTCAACGTCGAATTTGTCCAGATAAACCCCGATTCTACCGCTAGCCATCCCAGTGATGCTACCGACCAGACCCATGACGTGGTACCACGGACCGACGCTTAGAGTCGGCAGCTTCGGGTCGAAAGTCACAGGCCTAAAACGTTTCCAAGAATTAAGCATCCCACCAGCAACGCTCTTTGTATCACAGAAATATCTTAGAATTGAACAAACGAGAAAATAATGATATGGATGTACCTAATATTTAAAAAAAAACGGTGATAAAAATGTTTCGACGTGGCTTATCTGTGACTCAATTTTTTTTTTATTGCCCTTGTAGACAGACGAACATACGGCCCATATTTTGTCGTCGTGGCCTAAAGGATAAGACGTCCGGTGCATTCGTAAGTAGCGTTGCACCGGTGTTCGAATCCCGCAGGCGGGTACCAATTTTTCTAATGAAATACGTACTCAACAAATTGTTCACGATTGGCTTCCACGGTGAAGGAATAGTCATCGTGTAATAAAAATCAAACCCGCAAAATTAAAATTTGCGTAATCACTGGTGGTAGGACCTCTTGGGAGTCCGCACTGGTAGGTACCACCACCCCGCGCTTATTTCCGCCGTGAAGCAGTAATGCGTTTCGGTTCGAAGGGTGGGGCAGCCGTTGTAACTATACTTGAGACCTAAGAACTTGTATCTCGAGGCGGGTGGCGCATTTACGTTGTAGTACACCTGGTGGGCTGTGAGCACGTCCATCCATCTAAGCAATAAAAAAAATTAAAAAAACCTGATGGTTAGTGGTTACTGTCGCCCATGGGCTTCAGCTATGCCAGGGGCAGAGCCAAGCCGCTGCCTACTACATAATACTCTCCACAAGCCTCGTTTGAAGAAGGACATGTCATAGCGCTCGGGAAACACCGTGAAGGGGAGCTCATTCCAAAGCCGGATGGTACGTGGCAAAAAAGATCTCTGGAAACGCACTGTGGATGAACGCAGTGGCTCCAGGTAGTATGGATGAACCGTAGTATGGATGAACCGTAGTATGGATGAACTGTAGTATGGATGAACCGTAGTATGGATGAACCGTAGTATGGATGAACCGTAGTATGGATGAACCGTAGTATGGATGAACCGTAGTATGGATGAACCGTAGTATGGATGAACCGTAGTATGGATGAACTGTAGTATGGATGAACCGTAGTATGGATGAACTGTAGTATGGATGAACCGTAGTATGGATGAACTGTAGCATGGATGAACCGTAGTATGCATGAACCGTAGTATGGATGAACCGTAGTATGGATGAACTGTAGTATGGATGGTATGGATGGTATGGCTGATATCCATAACCGATGGTAAATACTTCGACGTTGACTTCAAGAGTTTCCGGATCGATTCAAGAGTAAACTCGAATGTGTTAAAGCAAGTTCCTGTGTATAATGAAAACATATTATTGTAAACGAAAAAACTCACAGACAACACGCTGCTATAACGTTGTAATGCGTTAACAGCACTCCCTTTGGCAAGCCGGTGGTCCCAGAGGAATAGATCATGAACAAAACATCGTTCTGCCCATTCACGTTGACCGCGGTGAACTTCTCGACTTCAATCTCAGAGCTGTCGCCGGCCAATAACTCGTCGAACGAATATAAACCGCTTTTCGACCCAGCGTCGCCGAAAATTATCGTTTTCTCAATGAATCCAAACGATTTTAACGTACGCACGTGCCTTTCGTGCATTTTCGGCGATATTATCACGTATTTCGGTTTCGATATGTTCATTGCGTGTTTTAGTTCGCCTGGAAAGCAAACAGCGGCGGTTTAGGTCAGCGATGGAATTGAAATGATTTTTGGTTGCTTTGATGTGTGTTTCACTGCCCTCCTGGTGATCGGCGGTTATATGACATGGACGTTAAAAAAACTTCGCAACTCACATTGAGACGTGAATTCAGTCTCAGTGGAACAGTACACTGGCTACCCCGCTCTTCGAGCTATTAATTCGCGGCAGGAATAAGCAGGGTTGGCTGTACCTGTGGTATCTGTGGTACCACCACCCTGATACCTAGTGCTACCATAGCTTTTCACCCTTCGATATGTACAATGATAGTGGATATGAATCATTAGAACATTTTTTTTATTGCTTAGATGGGTGGACTAGCTCACAGCCCACCTGATGTTAAGTGGTTTCTGGAGCCCATAGACATCTACAACGTAAACGCGCCACCCACCTTGAGATATAAGTTCTAAGGTCTCAAGTATAGTTACAACGGCTGCCCCACCCTTCAAACCGAAACGCATTACTGCTTCACGGCAGAAATAGGCAGGGTGGTGGTACCTACCCGCGCGGACTCTCGAGAGGTCCTACGACCAGTAAAAATCTTTTGAGGCTCTTTACAAATCAGTCGATATAAGAAGAATGTTACCTTTAGCATAATTGGTGCTTATAGTAGTGATAATGGCGCCGACGCACGCCGGACCAATCACAGCAGTCCAAAACTCTTGTCTATTCTCAGATAGTATCGCTATTCTCTCTCCTTTACGTACGCCCAATTGAGAGAGCGAGATAGCGAATCTCATAGATTGCTGCACAATTTCCCCGTAGGTCATAGTTTCGCCTGTGGCTCCGTTTGTCTGAAGTAATGAGAGGTTCTTGTAGATTTTTCCTGAGAATGTTATGGTTAAGACTAAAATGCATAGGAACCTCTCGCGAAAGCAGACAGAAGCTCCAAATTCCGTTATACGATAGCAAGCAATGGAACACAAATAAAAATCAACTGACGCGAGAGGTCAACGACTTCCAAGGAACACGGTAGGCACTAGACAGCACGCGATCACGCTATTTTAACTCGGGTAAACTATGCTTATTTATTCTTAGCTTAGTAAATAATGTTTTAAAGTTTATTTAGGCAGGTAGTTCATTCTGGTTTCGACATAGCGATTGACTACAATAACATATTATTAGGTCAAGGACTGTGTACGGAGTGAAGCGGAGTGCAATGGCTTTATGCTAGAATTTAATTTAAGTGCAATGGATATAGGTGATTTTATAGACCCCCTTCCCCCTTGCAGCCAGAATGCTATTTATATTGGTAGATGAAAGTATAAAGCGTCAGGTTTAAATTTTTTGTGTAAACTTTGAGGGTGACGTCTCGAAATCGAGAAAACCCCCACTTCGATAAAGCGGCACGACACGAGAACCCTCTCGTCGTGGCCGCCGGTAACTACATTCCCGATCCTGCGGACAGAATGAAAAGCAGTCGACGTCGCCCAAAACACGTCATCTCGGATCCTCCCGATCCACTAACGGTGCTTCTAGGTACTTCAATCACCGGTCACCGTTCTCGTCGAACCCGTCGCTTGCGACGAAGGGTTTTTTTTTCCTACCTAAACTGATAGCCTTGAGAGGCTATATCAGCGGAACCTTAACTAGTAGGTGAGCTCACGGGGCTCAAACGTAACGACGTTGCTAACACGAACCCTAGCAAGAGCCGTGCTTCACAGAATCTACCACCGGATCGGAAACGCGACCCACTGAGAAGATCCGGCGAGAAACTCAGTGGGCTGTGTCTGAGGGTTAATTTACTCGTCGAGCCCTTCGTCGCAAGGGACGGGTTCAACGAGAATGATGATCGGTGCTTGAGGTACCTAAAAGCACCGTTAGTGGATCGGGAGGATCCGAAATGACGTGTTTGGGGCGACGTCGACTGCTTTCCATCCTGTCCGCAGAATCGGGAATGTAGTTACCAGCGGCCACGATGAGAGGGTTCTCGTGTCGTGCCGCTTTATCGAAGTGCAGGTTTGTTTGAGTCTCCTCAGCTCACCTACTTGTTAGCGGCATAAGTAAGAAAAAAACGGGGAAATGGAGAAAGGACATTGAGATGCCACCGAAATCTTTGTTTATGTGAACACAGGGAAGAAAGAAAAATACTTTGTAAATGATTACTTCGATATTAATTATTGTTTCCTTGACTATTATCTTCATTAAACACATTAGGAGTTCCGGATTCGTGTTTTTTTTACCTGTGCAATCCTGTCTTTGTGCATCCACATTCTGTCCAGTATGAACTGGCCAAAGTTCAAGTGCAGCGGAACAGTGATGTCCCTGGACCCGTACACGTAGTAAGGATTCTTCAGCATGTTTCTATAGATACGAACCATGAATGAATTTGAACTTGAAATTTGAATTTGAATGAATTTCTATACGAATTTTTAAATTAACCATAAAATATCTGTAATAAATAAGGATAATTTTTTATATAATATGATTTACCATGTAACACTGTGATATCGATACGCGAAGCATATTTGAAACGCGAAGCTATCATGCTATCCGGTTTTAAGGATCATATAGATTATAATCTATACTAATATTATCTATTCTATACTAATAATAATAATAATAATAATATTATAAAGAGGAAAGATTTGTTTGTTTGTTTGTATTGAATAGGCTCCGAAACTAATGAACCGATTTGAAAAATTATTTCACTGTTTGGAAGCTACAATATTCCCGAGTGACATAGGCTATAATCTTTTTTGATAAAATTAGGGATCCTTACTAAAACTCCAATAATGTAACCCAAGGTGTAAAAAAATTACGTAAAATATTCTTTACATCGGGTGCCCTGCAAAAACGATTGATAATAGAATAAAATAATGTACTACTACTTTGTAGAACACATCATTATTTACAAAAAGTATCACGACAACATATTATTATGTATTATAGTTATCCGCAATAAGTGTTCTTTTATTTTAAAACTAGCTGACCCGGCAGACTTCGTAGTGCCTCAATCGATAAATAAAAGACCTAAACTTTTATATAAAATAAACTTAAAACAAACAAAAGGACTCCGTCCGACGGGGGCACATCAAAGGAAAAACAAAATTGTTATTTTTATTTAATTCCGAGCATTTTCATATTTATCTACCTTTTAAACCTTCTCTGGACTTCCACAGATAATTCAAGACCAAAATTAGCCAAATCGGTTCAGCCGTTCAGGCTTTTCAAGGATATGACCTTCGGCAATGAATTATGCGACTAAGAAGAAGGTATATAATAAATACACTTGTGTCAATGGACGACGTATATATTAATATGCTTATGTCGATTTTTAATTAAGTAACGCAATTATTATGCAAATTGTATAGTGAATTACCAATTTTATGTATAACATTTTACAATTTAATAAATTATGTAGGCATGTTTTAATTTTGGCGGGCTTTCTATCTACCACAGATTAAAAACAATGCTGTGAACGCTACGGCTGTTGGTACTCGTACATTAAGTAGGTTGGCCGTTGCACAAATAACTTCCACTTTTTTGCCACAGCTGTCACAAGTCGTTGTAATAATTAAAACTACTTTTGCGACTTCAGCTTACGTCTATTAATTCCGTAGCTTCGAATATCTTACAGTTTTGTGGTCACGGATGAATATTAAAGCCTTAGTTTTAGTAAAAATTACTGTCAACACTGAGGTTTGAAATTGTCATTTGATGGACTTTTGGCGGGAACATATCTTCCTTTTTCCCTTCCTCTAAGTCTCGGAAATCTAAAGTTTTAGATTTGTATTAATAATTACTTAAAACTACTTTTGCGGCTTAGGCCTATGTTTATTAATTCCGTAGCGTCGAATATTCTACAGTTTTCATTGTCACCGAAGCCTTAGAGTTTTAGTTTTCGTAAAAGGAGTTTTTATTATGTTCTACCCCGTAATACAAGATATATTTAAACTTATTAAAACCAGGTGATCCGTCATACATTTTGTTTTAAACGGACATATGCTATGTTCAGCTTTGTTTATATCTGTTGCGGGGCTATTTTCCTTTATGCGTATGGAGGGTAGAAGTAAGGAACACCATCTAAGTGTAATATAAAGTATCTGCTGTCTGTGTGGCAAGTGGAAAGAATTTAAAAACGTTACAATAAACTACCACTTTTTTTTTATTGCTTAGACGTTGGTTAGACGAACTCACAGCCCACCTGGTGTTAAGTGGTTACTGGAGCCCATAGACATCTACAATGTAAATGCGCCACCCACCTTGAGATATAAGTTCTAAGGTCTCAGTATAGTTACAACGGCTACCCCGCCGTTCATACCGAAACGCATTACTGCTTCACGGCAGCAATAGGTGGGCTGGTGGTACCTACCCGTGCGGACTCACAAGAGGTCCTACCACCAGTGATTACGCAAATTATAATTTTGCGGGTTCGATTTTATTTTCACTATGTTATTCCTTCACCGTGGAAGTCAATCGTGAACATTTGTTAAGTACGTATTTCATTAGAAAAATTGGTACCCGCCTGCGGGATTCGGACACCGGTGCATCTCTACATACGAATGCACCGGACGTCTTATCTTTTAGGCCACAACGACTTCATTTTCACTTTTAATTCCGCACACTTCGCTGTGTTTCAAACTGTCATTTATTTTGCACTTGCAACACTGGCGCTATTTCGGTGAGTCTTCCAACAATAACTTGCTGTATACAGGTGGACACTTTTTCAACTTCATACAAGATGATGTTCCTTAGTCTACCCTCCATATTTATTAGTAACACAACAATTTAAATACAATTGAGTTTATGACGTCACGTATTAATGTTAGTGACGGTATATTTATACGTTATCTAGTCTCTGAGTGCCTACAATACTGTCTATCTTGAATTGAATTTTGAATGCATTGGAATGACGCGCGAGGTCATCGTCCTCATGACATATAGCAGCGTTCATTGGTTTTTTCTCGTGAATCTCTAAAACATTTACGAAATTTACACCTTATAACCGCGTATTAAGATTTAAAAAACAATTTCATAAAATATTATTTGTTATTCTAACAAAAACTATCTATATATTAATACGTGAAGCAAAAACTTTGTATCCCTTTTTACGAAAATTACGCGGACGGAGGAGTATGAAATTTTCCACACTTATAGAGAATATAGAGAAGAAGTGCACAATGCTAATATTTTTTTAAAATAATGCATAAAAGATACATTAAATCAATAAAGAAAACATTACACACACCACATACCATGTATTTGACGCACACACGCATGCATACTGTTTATTGTCAAACTTTTGTTCTTGACGTTTGTGGTCAAATTGAGAATAGATTAAATATTGTTTGTCTTTATTAATATTGTTTTATAGTGTAGCCTTGGCGAAATTTGTGATTATATTATGAGTACAAACTTACAATTACAATTCATTATAGTCGAATTTCGACTACTGTGGGACCTCTAGTACTTCGTAAATTACTAAGTGATGCTAACAAAATTAAATAAAGCTCTATAATAGTTCAGTCAATCGAAATGATGCGCGCGATCAATTAATTATAATACGTACTAAAAATAACTTACATTTCACTTATAAAATCGATAATATGATATCACTGCTTTGTAATTGTGAAATTTAATTAGCACCACAGAAAGCGTCCGTCTTGTTATTAAATACAAACAAAACTGAGCGATTAATACATTCTTATCGCATTTCACGTACATAATTGTTATGCTGATAATTTGTTATATAAATATTATAAATTGTTTAGCGCATGTTTGTTCGAGATTACGTGTACTGATAATGTGTATTACAGAAACAAACATTTCAATATAAAAATGTAGTGGAAGAAATATGTAAAATTACTTTTGCGAAAATTAAAACTTTGAATATTCTTCCGCGACATCGAAAACTATAAAGTATACGATACGTTGGGAATAATGAAATTGTAATTAAAACGTATTTTTGTATTTTTTTCTTGTTACTAATATGTAGAACTTCTTCTATTACAAACCAGCTGACCCGGCAGACTTCGTAGTGCCTCAATCGATAAAAAAAAGACCCAAACTTTATCTAAAATAAACTTACAACAAACAAAAGGAATCCGTCCGACGGGGGACACATCAAAGGAAAAACAAAATTGTTATTTTTATTTAATTACCAGCATTTTCGTATTTATTTACCTTTAAAACCTTCTCTGGTCTTCCACAAATAATTTAAGACCAAAATTAGCTAAATCGGTCCAGCCGTTCTCGAGTTTTAGCAAGACTGACGAACAGCAATTCATTTTTATAAATATAGATTACTTTCAAGGTATTTGTTGGCGCCACAAAAAAGAAAATGCACCATTAGTGTAAATGTTTGTCGCACATAAACATCAAAAGCTATACATACCGGTGGCACTATGATAATAAGCGAACAGTTGCTAGGCGTGGTAATACAGCAGCAATAAGGAAACTGTATTTTACAAAACAAAAATTTTAAGTTTATTTACCACGAGAACTGGGGATACTACAAATCAGCGTCGGCACACGAGGATCACTGTTTATTAACTGTTTAACTATTATTACCGTATTACGATTTTAGAAGTGTGTGTTTTCACTTTTTTTTTTTTAATCAAAGCAAAAGCCGTCTGAGTTTTTACTACCTACCATCTAAATTTAATATACCAAAACTATTCCTTTTCTAAAGACAATCTTTTTTTCGACTCGCACGTACCTAATATTGTGAATATTACTGCCTTAGATAGACGAAAAAAAACTTCCACTTGATATTTTACCGAAGCCCAAAAGTGTCAGTACAAAAATACCCATTCATCTTGAGACAAAAGTCCAATTGTCTGTCTACCCATCCTTTCAATGAAACCTCACGGCAAAACGGGCAGAATAGTGAATCCCAAAAAAAAATTACTACTGTCTAACAAGGCGCTTGCATCTATCTTTTGTACATGTATAACATTGATTTAAATAAACATATGATTTAAATATATATATTTCAACTCTCTGATGTATAACGACATCTCGTCGTTGTCAAATCAAAATCTGCTATGTGCACTTTATGAGATTTTTACTTTTTGACCTTTTCGTATAGGTCACAGCCCTATCTACCGTATAAAAAAAAACTGTTATTTGTCTATAGTTTTAATATTTATCTATAGCTTTCATTTGATATAGTTCTTAAAAATTCACCTTCATTTATTTTTTTATACGAAAATGTTTTTACTCGTTAATTCAAAATAGAGTTTTTGCTCATAGCAGATTTTGGTTTGACAGCGACGATATAAAGATTAAACTGTATTCATAGTACCTTACTGATTAATTCATACCTTACTGAAATAAATAAGATTTTTAATCCCAT